TTGTATGGCATGTGTTTGACCACACAGACGGTTTGCTGGCCCAGCTCAGCATCTGTAGCTGGGATGCTTCAGAGAACACACATGGGCACTGTTCAGACCCAGCCTGTAGCACCTTCATCCTCTCCTACTTAGGAGAGCTCCCTGACTCACCATCCTCGGAAGGCCAAAGAGCACGGCCACTTTTACTCATAAAACGGTGATTTTGGTCAACCTCATGCCTAATTATAGCACTTGAGAGAGACTGAGGCAGGAGGACTGCTGTAAGTCTGAGGCCAGCCTTGTCTCCAACAAACAAAAAAATCACTTCATATGGTTCTGTTAAATATCAACACTCATTCTTGTCTGTCCATAAACTAAGCTGACACACACAGCAGACAGATTTTACAGTTAGGCAAAGGACACTGGGTACCAGTCACCCTCCCACCCCATCCCCGCCGTCAGTGGAACGTATTATGGCAGACACAGCTGAGACTGATGCAAAGATGGTCAACTGCTGACCATTTTGTATGGTTCTACAGGGAAACACGTGGCAGTGCAGGCTACAGAATGGTTGGCTCCCACAGGCTTCATCCCTCAAACCCCTAGCATCAAGGCTCAGGCCTCGTGAGAGCTTGTAGACAGCTAGCCCCTTCCTGCTGGTCCTCACATGGTAGTGAGTCTTCTATCTCTTCTTAAACAGCCACTAGTTCAGGATGAGAGTCCCACTTTGGGGACCTTATATACCCTTATTGTCTTCCAAAGGCCCATCTCCTAAGTCCCACCACTACTGCATGGTAGGACTTCAGTACAGGAATTTGAGGAGGATAAAAATAGAGTCTGTAACAGGCAGGAAAGAGTAGCTTGGGAATTAATAAGCTTTATATCTTAAAAGGGTTTATTAATCAGATTATCATACAAAGCAGCGGGCCTCAGTAGCATCTTTGTACGTAAAGTCCGAATACAGGATGAACTTTAATAAAGTTATTTGTTTTAGTATACTGTATGTTTTGTATAAACTGGGTGGATAATACTTGTGAAATGTCGGAAAATTCATTGCTTTTCTACTTACAAAGCATTTAGTGTTTTGGTGTGTTAGTGTTAGAAAAACCTTACTTAATGCCCCATTTCAAAGAACAGAGAAACATTTACTGCCATAAAGGCCTATTCAGGCTTCAAACAAAAACAAACCAAATGTGGTGTATCTACAAGACTGGAACAGAAATAAAGTGGGGATGTGGATTCACAAGGGCTTTGTGTGTGTGCGTGCATACTTTCTCTCCCTCTGCCTTCCAAAGGCCCATCTTCAGCATGAGGACTGGGGAGGATACAAAGATTGATACAAAGATTGAGTCCCTAACAGACAGGAATCAGTAAGCTTGCTTTTTTTTTTTTTTTAGGCTTTAGGTTAGCAGGACTCTACTACCTCAGGCTATGTGCTAGGATTCTACCCCAGCCTGGGAAACACTTTGTAGACAGCAATTTCTAGGCACAGAAATCTAAAATCTTGGGACTACTAATTAAATGTATTGCTCAGCTGCGCAAAGCCATGCATGTTTGTAGTCCCAGCTACTCAGGAGGCTGAGGCTGAGTTCATTGAGCTCCCGGTCTGGAGGCCAGCCCAGGCAGTGAGAACCTGACCTAAAAACTAAACAAAAACCAAGAGAAACCTTCACCGTCATATTCTTTTTAAGCAGAGATGAAATAAACTGTTAAGAATTGCTACACACACCAATTGAGAAACACCTAGAGGGAACTTGCTGCTTCTTGTTCTGCCACAGACATCACAGACATTCAGTTAGGAGGCCATTTGCAAACCAGATCTCAATCTGCTGGCACTCAGGCCTTGGCTTTTTAGCTTCAGAACTTGAAATTTCCACACTGCATCAAGAATAGTATTTACTAGCCACGAAAGAAGGAAAACAATGATTCTTGCTGAGGGGAAGGAGAAACCTGTCTCCTGATGCTTCAGTCTGTCTCCAAGGCAGTGCCTGGAACATTGCACCCTCAAGAGCACAAGACTGCAGTGTCCTCATGTGGCAACTGGTGAAAGGCTAAATGTACACCCCAATATCAGGCCCTTTAAAAAGGCACATTGCTGGATAACCGGGGAGGAAGGGCAGTGTCTATAGTGCCAAGCCAAACTCAGACATTCAAAGATACACAATAACGAAGGGTCCTGTTCTCGGTGACCTCAGTTTTCTGTCACCTTTAATCACTGGAGAAGACAGTCTTGAGGGCTACAGTTTTCCCCAAATCCAATCTGGAGAAACCAGGCTCTTGGCAGGTGGAGCAGCTCTGCCTTCCACCAGGATACTTCTGTTGTGTGCTGAGGACAGAAGACAGACTCTGGGCCGCAATGGACTCAACTTGACTTTGGTGGCAGGGGAGCTGTGTTCTCTGAGATGGAGATGGCTGTTTGATGATGTGGTGCTTTGAGTAGCAATGACCCCGTAAGTTCGTATATTTGAATGCTTGGCCACTAGGGAGTGGACCTTGTTAAAGGAAGTGTCATTGGGATGTGCTCTGAGGTTTCAGAAGCTCAAGGCTCAGTCTCTCTCTTCCTGCTGTCTGGCAACAGAATAGATATAGAACACTCAGCTCCTTCTCCAGCACCATGCCTGCTGGCATGCACCATGCTCCGCTCCATGATAATGAACTAAACCTCTGAACTAAGCCAGCCCCAATTAAAAGTTGTCCCTTATAAGAGTTTCTATGAAGCTGGGCGGTGCTGGCGCTCGCCTTTATTCTGAGCATTCGGGTGGCACAGACAGGCAGATCTCTGTGAGTTCGAGGCCACCCTGTTCTACAAGAGCTAGTTCCAGGACAGGCTCCCAAGCTACACAGAGAAACTCTGTCTCAAAAATCCAAAAAGAAAACAAAACCATTGTGATCTAGAAGCCCTAACTAAGACAGATGAATAGTGCAGGAAGTAAACTCAAGCACAGATCTCATTTGTGGAACACCAGCGAAGATACAGTGCGTATGGTGAGCAGATCCAGGTGAACAAATGCATGCCAGTCTGCCTCAGCAGCCATCAGTGCGGTATCAGATCTGCAGATGGAGAAGCAAACAGCAGGCACTAGAGAGTGCAGGCTGGAGGCTGAAGAGCAGGAAGTGACCGGCTCTGACTTTGGCATTGGCATTTGGGGCTGGAGATCTTCAGGACAACTCAGGCATTCTCTAAGTGCACAGAGTGGCTCAGCCTGCACAACCAGCTGCTTTGATACTACATGGCCTCAACTGTATTTTCTTAGTAACTGAAATTGAGATAGCTGAATTATTAGGAGTTGTATAAGAACTCTGCACTGGGAGTTCCTTTCATTTTGTTTATTCAGTTGAAAGCATATATAGTATAGCTACTGCAATGAAAACAAGGAGAAAGGAAGAAAACTCTTAGATACGGTGTCCTTGGTGCCCTTGTGAAAATTGTAATTGGGCTTTCTGGATTACAGGTTGTAAACATACAAACCCAGCTTTAAAAACCATGGGGCCCGCTTGTCTTTATGTGTACCACATGTGTGCAGGGGCCCACAGAGCCCAAAAGAGGGTATAATCTCTGGAACTGGAGTGACAGGAGATTGTGAGCTGCCTGATGTGGGTGCTGGGAACTGAACCTGGGACCTCTGAAAGAGCAGCCAATGCTCTTAATGACTGAGCCATCTCTCCAGCCCCTATGTTTAATCTTTATAAGGAAAGAATAATGGAATTAGATTACAGTGCAGAAAAATCAACAGGACACGAAGCCTTACTTTCTCAGTTTGGTAGCAGCTCTATGTGTGAAGAGGGAGGATGAGTTAGAAATGTAGTGATCTGTGAGAAGTGATGGAGAAGACAGGCCAGCAGACAGATGCTCAAGTCCCAGAGCTCACACCTGTGCCCGGTAGCATCAGCAGCAGTTGTCTCTCGAATGCTCACAGCTTCACTTCTCTTGGGTGCCATGTCTTCAGTTGATGCTGTTCAGGGCGGAGCAGGGCTGGAGGACACAGCCAGACACGGCTTCAGGGCGGCAGTGGCTGTGATTCAGCTGCTGGGTAACAGTGGGAAGAATGGCTCCTGACTGTACAGAAAAACTGAGACAACCCTGGGGACCACAGGTTTATGCTTAATAATGTCTTTTAGTGGCAATAAGGGTTAAACATAAGGTATATACAACTAATACTTTATTAAGGCAGTTTCTTTTATAATTTTATTATATCACCTTTAAAGAATAACACATGAAGGGATCATCAGTTGGAAACAATTCTTAAGGTTCTATTTACATCACCTCTTCAGGAGTGTGCCCCTTGTATAAGTGTGTGGCTAATGTGACCAGGGATAATGTGTAACTTAATGACCACGACATTCCACCAACATCTGCTTCTATGTTCAATACAAAATGTTTATTTGGTCTTTGAAATGACAGGCACCTTTAGAAAATGTATTTTACTTATTCTTTAAACTCCAGTAGGTTTCAGCTATAATAAGTGTATAGCACCAAAATCTACGTTCCAGGTATTAATATTAGCCAGTAACATTGAATTTAATGTATACATTTTGATGTAGACATAATGAAAATTCTAACAATACAAAAATGAATACACAGTTTTATGAAATGGGCAATTTAAAGCTTTTTAAAAGAACAATTTAAAAACATGAATGTTATTCTTAGATAACCATCTAACTTGACATAAAACTCAAGGGCTTAGAAAATCTCTGGCTTAAAATTAAAACTGTTGCAAAGTCCTAATTTATTACTATGTCATAAAAATCTCAGAGGAATTTAAAAATACTGAGTTACTAAAAAGTCAAGAGGTGCCAGACTTTTAAAGATCAAGGTAAACACTGTTTTCCATTAGAAATTTTTTTTCTTTCAAGATAGGGTTTCTTTGTGTAACAGCTCTGGCTGTCCTGGAACTCACAGAGATCCACCTACGTTTTCCTCCCGAGTGCTGGGATTAAAAGCGTGTGTCACCATGCCTGGCCTCCATTATCTTTTTTTTTTTTTTTTTTTTTTTTAATTTTCGAGACAGGGTTTCTCCGTAGCTTTTGGTTCCTGTCCTGGAACTAGCTCTTGTAGACCAGGCTGGTCTCGAACTCACAGAGATCCGCTTGCCTCTGCCTCCCGAGTGCTGGGATTAAAGGCGTGCGCCACCACCGCCCGGCTTTCCATTATAATTCTTAAGACATATCTATTTAATCAAATGAGTTCAGACTTAAGTTACTTATAAAGAAGTATTTTCTTCAGTTATATAACGTACTATAGAACAGAACTGGAATGGTATAAGCAAAGTCAACGGATTCATACTGGACCTTTTCCTCTGTTGCCCGTGGCCGTGAACGCCTCTGCTACTCCCTCTGTAGGAGCTGCTCTGGGACAGGGCATCAGTGTGCAGCCTTGCCCAACCCCAGTCTGCAGAGTGCTCTCAAGTCCTCACTCTATGCCTGGGTGATAAACATAATCTATGCTATAGGAATTTTTTTTAACCATATGGATTTTTAAAGGTACAAGATGAAAGGCAGCATCTGCTAAAGTTGGATTTCTGAAGAATGGCAGTTCTTGCGATTGGCTGGAACACTGTGCAAGTGGGGTAACTCTATGCATGCAATGCTGCAGTGCACCTATGCAATCACGTATGGAACGTTTTACCACACAGTACAGGTTTTTCTTTTCTTGACCTGGGTTCTCATATCTGTAGTCCAAGCTAACCTGGAATTTCCTATGTAGTCCAGGCTGGCTTTGAACATCTGGAACTATTCCTTTCTCAGCTTCCCGAGTGCTAGGATTATAGGAGCTCATGTCTTTGTCTTACTTTCTAACTGACAGTGCTCACCAGCTTTAATGGCCATGTTGCGAGTTTCTTGGGCTTGAACTCCCTCCTATATCTAACAGCACCTTTCTTTTTTCTTTTACTCTAAGTAACTGAGTATTGCCCAAGAGCCTTTTATGGGGAAGAAAATAACCTCTCTACTTTGATGCTCTTTAACCATTAGCTTTTCCAAAAATTTAATGCCCACAAGATGAAATACTGTAGTAATCTTAGATATAACTATACTTCTAAACAAGGCAGGCAGTGGGGCAGTATTACAGAGTATTAACAAACAGACAGACAAACAAACAAAAACCCCAGTGTAGCTGAGGCTCAGTGGACAAGACCAGAAGCCTGCAACACAGTGGCCCATTCTGTCTCCCAGAGGAAGACCGGTCTGTCTCCTGGAGGCCTGCGCTGGCTTATGGAGATAAATCAGATGCTGAGCCATCTTTTAAAATTCTGAAAATTTATTTCCCTAATAAGGAAAAAGCAAACTCTTGCCAAATTCATGGATTTTTTAAAAAGGAAACTGCCATGTGCCTTACCCTTTATGTGTAAGGAGCAACACTGAGTCAGCAATGTCCCTTTTTGATTGAAAAAGATTGGTCCTCAAGGTGTTCAAAATTATTCTTATTTACATGACTTCTAAATTTTTATCTAAAAATTATAAGCCATTCAATTAAGCTAAATTAAAATGATTTCAGTAGAAAGGCTACAAATATAATTCTACCCATCACTGATTTTACAAATCAAATATAATACCTTAAGCTAGGAAAATAATGCATATAGTTAAAAAAAAAAAAAGATTTCCAGTCTTTTCCCTTCTCCCCAGGAAGTTTTTACATCTTGCTGTCCCAACAGGAGCCTCTGGTGAGCTGCAGGCTTCCAAGGTTACCCTCAGCATTCTTACTGGTGGTCTCCTTCAATTCTCCTCTTGCGCACTGTGGGGAAAAAAAGCCTGTTATAAATCCCTGTGCATTTACAAAATGCTAACTTGCTTGCAACAAGTTTCTCCATAGCAGTTAATGTCTCATAAAGATGAATTGAGTACTTCTGATTCATATGACCATTAACAAAGAAGGCTCGGCCATCTGCCACTGTCATTTGCTTGATGAAAATCATCTAAACAAGAGCTACATGTCTTAGGATGTAGGTGCTTACATAACAGCAGGGTAGGACCTAAAACACAGTATTCAGTACAGTAGTCAGTGAGTGTTCAGCACTCAAGTTTCAAGTCATTTGATTCTAGAAAAAAAAAAAAGGATGTCTACGTTTGGAGAAATAATCTGTTAATACAGTAACATTTACAATGACATTGGCAAGCCGTGGTTAAGAAGTTATATTAGGGGCCTGGAGAAATGGCTAAATGCTTTTCCAGAGGCCTAGGTTCGATTCCCAACACCCACATGGCAGTTCACAACTGTCTGTAACTCCAGCTCCAGAGGATCTGACATCTACTTCTAGCCTCCACTAGGTACTGGGCACACACATGGTATAAAGACATACATGCAGGCAAAACACCAATACACAAAATAAAATCTAGAAATACTTTCATCATGTTTAAAAGTACTAACTGACAACTTTTTCCAAATTTCCCTTCTCTTTATAAATTTCCCTTCTGGGCACTATAGATGCTGACTTCAGAAAGTGGCTAGCTAACCAGTTCAGATGATGGAGCAAACAAGATCCATATGCCTGACAATGCTCAGTCTTCATGGACCGCTGATGTGAAATCATTCTGAGCTCACTGGTACAAGTAAGGGCTTCAGCTATCTTGTTCTTTTGACTATCAGTCACCCAGGGCATTTACTAAGAGCCACCATGTCAGTATTCGACACTATGGCTGACCACTATTCCAAAGGACAGAGTAGCAGGTTGCAGCGTTGGCAAGGGGACATCAGCACAGCTCTGCCACTCCTGTGGAGTGTGTGCTGTGGCGCCCAGCCTCTTTGAGTGTCAGCTTTCCTCTGTAACAGGAGAATAATGGTATTTCACATGACAGCCATGTGATAAGTGCTGCACAGAGCAGTGCTGAGAACATGGCAAGTGCTTAGTGCTCCTCTCCGTCTGACACTGCAAGAATACACGCTGAGACATGGTCAGCCATGCTTCTAGTGAGGAAAAGCCAACCTGCTACCATGAGGCTATGTACTCCTGCGCTACTGGTTTTGCTATTTTACACGCAGACTCTGATTATTGATTCCCACTTCCCCTCTGAAAGCCAGTCACAAGGCACTAACTCTTTTCAGTCTGAATCAGCTGCCAGAGGAGCTAGTCAAGAGGGAATAATGACTGTTCCCATGCTATTCTGACTACTGGCTGCTGGGACCAGACATTTACTGGTGTGTATAAGGACTGTCCAGTCATTGGTTGAGTAGAGTCAGAAAATCAAAGCAAAGGCTACAGCCTCCACGAGCTATACTTACCTACTCACTTTTTCCTGACTGATCTAACCTATAGTAATGAGGAACAAGCTTCAAGTATCTACTGAAAAATAAAGGGAAGAAAAAGCCAAGGAGACCATAAATAAATACAAATATATGCCAAAAAAGGAAACAACAAGCAATTCTTAGAGTAGAGTTTGGCTGGTTTTGGCAAACCATTTCAGATGTTAAAATGCATGCTAAAAAAATGTTAAAGGTGTTACAGACAGGATCTACAGGACAGAGCACAGCAAACAAAACGCCATAGAAAGCTGCTTATGCAGTTAGCTAGTGTAGAGATACCAGCTCAGTGCGGACGTGACTGCTATATGTGTACCATAGAACCTCTTCTTTTAGAGCTGGGACACTTCTTTCTTAGCTGGAGAGATGACGAGTAGGCAGAAGTATTTCAGTGGACAGCCGAGAGTAAGAAGACAACGAGAAGGTATTATAAAAACGAGGACAGAGATCGGATATAGCCCCGTCTGCAAGCTGAATGTGAGCTATCTGCCCAGTAGACTGTGTCAGGTCAGGTCGCCAGGATCCCTGTGTCGGGTAGAGAGCACAATGCACTGAGAGAAAATGAAGCAAGGAGCAGATCTGAGGATCTGCTGTGTGCACGACAAGGCAGAGGGCAAAGGACAGAGTGCTGGTTTGTCACCTGGTGTCCTTGTTATCTACCTGGTCCAATTTTTGTTAATAAGTCTTAACTAACCTCCCTCTCAGTCTCTAAAACAATGTTTTTTTTTTTAAAGTGTTGTATTAATCATATAGCTATACGAGCTCCCAAATGCCTCCAACATAAGCCGCCCCTTCCAGGAATGTCCTTATTGTCACTTTACATGTGTGACCCGTGTCTGTAACTCTAGTTTGCATCAGAACGGGACAGCATGAGGGGAGTCTAGGAAATTCCTAGCAGAAGTGTGAGCTTCTCAATTCTGCTTTGTGACAGACTGCATCTTCTTCCAAATGGCCTCTTTATCCCCACAGTACACTGCTGTGGCCAGCCACTCAGCTGTCAGCTGGAGTCCACATAAGGCAGCCAGGACACTCGTATCTGCCCACTCATCCACATGCTGACATTCTTCTTCTCTGTAGGTCTGGGCACAGCATCTGTCACAGCTGGCGTGGCAAGAACATAACTGCAGGGACCTAACGAAAAGGGACTTCCCTACGATTATGTTTATGGGCTGCAATCACACAATCCCTGTGGGTGTCATCTATCCATGACAGAGATTACTGGGGTAATATATGTTGGTGGCATTTTGGGATTTAAGGTAGTTTCAGGAGAGGAAAATGGAAGATTTGTCTGGTTTAGTTTAAGACGATACACTTACCAGAAAACTATAACTGAATAAAGATAAATTTACAGCCTTATTCCCCCCTCTTCTTTTTGGTTTTGTTAGAGACCAAACATAGGACCTTGAACATGCTAGGCAAGTCCTCTATCCCTGAGCTGTATCCCAGTCCCTAAATACTTTTTTACAAATACCAGCTATGGGTTAGACATGATTTCTGAACAAAACTCCTGCCAGCAACATGTCCCTATGGTAAAAAACTTGTAATGTTTGAAAACAGACTATTTTGTTTTGAAATGTTTATTTACTATGTTTGTGTATGATGTGTGAATGCATGTGTACATATGTGCTATTGTGTGTGTGTGTGTGGTCAGAAAACAACTGTGTGACACGGGTCTCCTTTTCCATTGTCACAAAGGTTCTAGGGATCAAACCCAGGTTGTCAAGCTTCAGAGGCAACCACTTTACCCAGTAAGCCACCTTGTCTGCCTACCACGCTGGCTCATGCCTATAATCCAAAACACTCCACAGGTGGAGGCAGCAGTAGGATCACCAGGAGTCTGAGGCCAGCCTGAGCTATAATGGCAAGACCATGCTCAGAAAAAAAAAAAAAAATCTGAAGATAGACACTTTAAATGAACTACAACTTGTTGTTGTTTATTTATTTATTTATTTTTACTCTTTGGCTCTTTTTGGGGACCCATCACCCAGCTCCCAAATAAACCATGGACATGGAGTCTTATTCTTTCTTATGAATGCCTGGCCTCACGCTGGCTTGTTTCTAGCCAGCTTTTCTTAACTTAAATCATCCCATCTACCTTTGCCTCTGGGCTTTTCCTTTTCTTCTGTACATCTTTCACTCTTACTCTGTGGCTGGCTGGCCCCTGGTGTCCTTGTTCTCTCTCGCTCCCTTTTCTCTTCCAGAGTTCTCCTATTTATACTCTCTGCCTGCCAGCCCCGCCTATCCTTTCTCCTGCCTCCTTATTGGTCATTCAGTTCTTTATTAGGATTGTCAGGTGTTTTAGACAGGCAAAGAATCACAGCTTTACAAAGTTAAACAAATGCAGCATAACAGAAGTCACACATCTTACCACAATATTCCCCAACAATTTTCAAAGTGTGACAAATGTTAAGTAGAAAATGCATATGGCACATGTATTCACATGTAAAATACATACGGCACATGTGTTCACGATATGCATTAATGCCAGACTCAGAAACCGAAATGTCTCCTGATAGCCAAACTAGGATTTCAGTGAGCATGAGCTGCCTACAGCAGGACTAGACACTTTGTGAAGGTCCCAGCGCCAAGTTTACCCTGTCCTAAATCTGACTCTTTAGGGGAGGGAAGCCAATAATCCAGGTTTTGAAAATTATCTAGCTATTAACAAAGTCAGTCCAGACTTAAAAACACTTCTCTAAGCAGCAAAGTCAAAACACTTGGAGGAGAATAAATGATGGGAACCAACACTAGGACAATTGACTGAAATCTGCATCTAGAACCAAAAGTACACAAAACACTATTTTCTCTTTTGAAAAGCAAGTGGCTAAAATATCCTGTGGGCAACTGTCACAAAGGGAATTAAACAGCACTGCTCATGTAGCTAGAGTAAAGGAAATCTGGATGAAGTTTAAAAGTAGTTGCTCAGAAATGTCCCGCTGTTGAGAGGACTTATTTTTACTTCTTGCCTATACAATGAATCTTGTAAAACAGTTTAGCGTAAATAGCATAACTGAAAAGGAAGTCACTTTCTGGCAATACAGAGAAACAAAATTACAAGCACAGTATTTATTAACTCATCCAGGACTAGAGAGTTCATTTCCATCCGAGACCACGAGACTCAGCAGGAAAAGGAGCAGAGGAGAACGGATCACTGAGGCAGGCGAGTGCAGGAGGTCACTGCACGCATCAGAGAGGCTAGGGAGTCAAACTGTACTTATCCTGTATCTCATAATATAAAACTGAATTTCTGATTCTGCTTGATAAATAGGCAAAATACTTTCTGGTGGTGCCAAACTCTTTGTTTCAAAGCAGAAGGAGCAACTGTCAACAGGAACAAAACACCTGTCATGGTAAGTTTCACTTAAAGCTATTATTACATGCTTGTCACAGAAGCGGTAACAAACATGAAGACCACTACAACCTGCACAGCTCCGACTCACCGTGTAAAGCACTGGGCAGCATTGGACAATAAGGACAGGTTATTTTTCTATGTTAATTTAGCTCTAAAAATAGCTTGGCTCAGTACTGCATACATCTTACCTAAGTCGTTGTTTTTCGTTATAGCATTGGCTGCCCTGGTTCGGGGTCCCTGCTGTGTAAACTGATACCCAAATTTAAGGATATTCGTATTTTCTTCAAGCATCTTAGCCATTTCTAATTCTACAGCTGTGCCCAACTGCTGTCTCTGGAAGGATCAAAAACAAAGAATAGCATTAATAAACCAAATAAAACATTTTTTACGTAAATAAAATTTAAGACTTAGTCCCATGCTGATTCTGATGATCTCTTAAGTTTTCATGCAATTTCTACAACATATATAAAAAAGACATCTTTAAAAATTCAACAGACACCAAAAGCTCTATAGAAATAAAAAAAGTGCGGATACTGTGCCACCTCACACCCACAAGGACGGGTATGATGAAGAAGACAGAAAGGCCGAGGAAATCGCTCAGCTGGTCCTTCTCTAGCATCCATGAAGCTCTGGTTCAATCCCCAGCACAGCATAAACTACTAGCAGCTGAATGCAGGCCTTTGAGGTCATCTTCTATCAGAGAGGTTTGAGGTTAGCCTGGGCTACGTGAGACTATCTCAACCTTGGCTCCAACAAGATCAAACTAACAAACCACCCATCAAGAAGATGAACAAACAGCAGGCATGGTAGTGTGCACCTATATCCCAGGTCCTGGGCAGGCTGAGGAGGAAGAAATGCTTGATCTTAGATCAAGAACAGTCTGGGCGACACGGGGAGACCCTTCTGTTTAAGTGGTTTTCAATAATGTAGCAAAGCGGGCTCTTGGTAATGGCTTGACATTATCTTATTAGCCAGTGGTTCTACTGTAGGTATAGGCCCAGAGAAATAAACATGTATGTTCATAAAACACTTAGATATGAATATTCATATTCATGTCTAAGGAGCATTATTTTTCTTAAATTTTTAAAAATATCACGCACATGAGTTGTGTCTTTTTCTGGATGTATGTATGTATGTGCACCATGTGCATGCCTGGTGCCATGAAGACCAGAACTGGCATCAGATTCTCTGGAACTGGAGTTTGAGATGACTGTGAGCCACCACTTGGATGCTGGGAATTGGATCCAGGTCCTCTCCAAGAGCAACAAGGGCTCTTAACTGTTGAGCCATCTCTCTAGCACTGTAGCATTATTTTAATAGCTCAAAAGTATAAACTCTAAAATGTGACAGAATATTATTTAGCCATGTACAGACTGGAGTTTTGACATGTACTGTGTCTAGGATGGACCCTCCAGGACTTTATGCTAGGTTACTGAGATATATATATATATATATATATATATATATATATATATATTTTATATATATATATAAAATATATATATATATTTTAAATATTTATTTATTATGTATACAATATTCTGTGTATATGCCTACAGGCCAGCAGAGGACACCAGATCTCATTACAGATGGTTGTGAGCCACCATGTGGTTGCTGGGAATTGAACTCAGGACCTCTGGAATAGCAGGCAATGCTCTTAACCACTGAGCCATCTCTCCAGCCCACTGAGTTATATTTTTATTAAAAATTTGAGACCATGGATTAATTTAATTTTCAGATGTAACCAAATCTCTTTTCTATCTTACAGTCTACAAAATTTATTTATTGTGAAGGACTCAGGAAATCATTTGCCAAGTATCTTTTCAAATAACGAGTTTTGTGTGTATGTGGCATTTGTGTGTATGGGCATGTGTTTGCCTGTGCATGTGTGTGGTGGCAGCCAGCAGTGGGCACTGTTTTTCTCTCTCATTCTCTACCTTATTTTTTGAGACAGGGTTTCTCACTGAGCTGGAAGCTCGCTGTTTTGGCTAGGCTGGCTGGTCAGTAAGCCTGTAGGATCTGCCTGGTTTTGCTTCTGTAAAGATGGGGTTGAAGATGTACACTGTCACACCCCGCTTCTTTGTGGGTGCTGGGGATCCAATCTCAGGTCCACAAGATGATGCAGCAGGCACCTCCCCATTGAGTCATCTCCTCAGTCCTTCTAGCTAATTTTCAAATAAAAAATTAACAGTTGCTCTGGGTGGAAATAATTCTAATATGTATATTTTCCCCGCTTACAAAGTTTGTCTGGGGGACTGGTGAGTGGTTTAGCAGCTAAGAAGACTTGCTGCTCTTCTGGAAGACCCAGGTCGGGGCCCAGCATCCACATCAGGTGGCTCACAACCATTTGTTACTCCAGCTCCAGGGAATCCAATACCTCTGGTCTCCACATGCAAACGTATGCATGTATGTGACCATAAAATATAAAAACACAAACAAAAGTATGTCTAGGAATAGGTGGCCCCACACCCATGAAGGTATTAGCATTGTATTTGTCTGATGAAGATGGCGCCTTCATAGCAACCTGGGTACTGGGACGTTTCTCTTATTGGACCTGACACTGGCTGTTTTGACTATCAAGCTCCTGTGGCCTGCTTTTCGCTGATCCTCACAGCTGGAGGTGTTCCACACAGATGTGGCCAGTTATTTTTTTTTACAACATGTGCTCAATGGGGAGGACTGAGCTCAGTTCCTCTTGAAATCATATCAAGTGCTCTTACCCACTAAGGCATCTCTTCTTTCATGTAAACAACTCTATTCATATTCTCTGTATTTGGTACCGTAACACACTATAGACACAGTGCATCTGTGACTCAAAGAACAGGGGAAGAGTGGACTAAGTCACATGTAAAAGACTTTCCAGTTCAAATCAGCCACCTAATTAATTCCTTAAATTGACTTAAAGAGACTTGCTGTGTATTCGCCTGTTAAACATTAATATTCTGGATTCCCAAATGTCGCATCACCCCCTTTCTGCCACCATCTTTCCGAGAGAGTTACAGCCCTTCTTGCAAGTCCTCCTGGCAGTGGGGGCTGCAGTTTCCTCCGAATTGCTACTGTAGAACACCAACCTGATTGTCGATCTTGAGCTCTGTCAGGGTCTCATTGTCTCTCAAAGCATCAATCAGTGCTAAAACCCCAGTGCCTGTGATGAAGTTGGACTCCATATTTAAACTCTTCAAAGTTTTGTTCACTTTCAGCATGTCTGCAAATGCCTAGAGATTAAGAGGAAATATTTGGGATTAAAATCTGATAGCATCTATTTTTCACTGCACATGCCATAAGGAAATTCATAAATTAAGTTTCTCGTTATATTTTTTAGCTTGTTACACTACCGTTCAGTCTCACATGTACTGACTTATCCCATGTACATTACCATATATAATTTTTTAAAAAGATTATTTATTTTAGCCAGGAGGTGGTGGCGCATGCCTTTAATTCCAGCTCTCGGGAAGCAGAGGCAGGCAAAGGTCTGTGAATTCGAGCCAGCCTGGTCTACAAGAGCTAGTTCCAGGAGAGGCTCAGTACAGAAAAACAAACAAAAATATTATTTATTTTATGTATGAGTGCTCTATCTTCATGTATGTTTCATGCCAAAAGAACAGGGAATCAGATCCCATTAGAGATGGTTGCGAACCACCATGTGGTTGCTGGGAATTGAACTCGGGACCTGTGGAAGAAAAGTCAGTGCTCTTAACCTCTGAGTCATCTCTCCGGCCCCACCATATACAATCTTTAGATTATTTGGTCACATGTAATTCCCTGGTGCTGACATTCCTAACTCCTATTTCAGGTTCATTCATTCTCTACTCCCCATCTCCTCTCACATGTCCTCTCAGTTTCTGTATGAACTAATTCATTAATATCTCTTATGGTTTGAGAATGGGTAAGAAAGAGGTGGCTCACGAAGACGGCAACTGCAATACTCCAGAAAAGAGAAGACCACTTGGATCAGGGCGGGAGTAACGAAATGTGAGAAATGATTGAATTCTGAGATTATTTTCCTTTCCCTCTTTTTATGACAGGCTCTCACGCATCCCAAGATGGCCACAAACTCTCTATGGAGTTGAGGATGGCCTTGAACTTTTTCTGTTTTTATGTTTTTTTTTCAGGACAGGGTTTCTCTGTGTAACTGCGTTGACTGTTCTAAAACTCTCTGTAGACCAGGCTGGCCTCAAGCTCACTGAGATCCGCCTGCCTCTGCCTCCTGAATGCTGGGATTAAAGGTGTGTGCCATCACTGCCTGGCAGCCTTGAATGTCTGATCTTTCTGGCTCTACTTCCTGAATGCTGGGATTATAGGTATGTTCTACAACATTCAGTCTGTGCAGTGTTGGTGATAAACCCAGGACTTTGTGCATGCTGAGTAAGCACTGTGCCAATCTCTAGCCCTCCTGGTCCTCCTTTGAGACAAGATAGGTTTCAAAATGTTGCATTGTCTGGCCTGGAACTCACAGAGATTGGCTTGCTTCTACCCCCAGACTGCTGGAATTAAATGTGTGCACCATGGCATCAAGATCTAGCCCATTAAACAAATAGGATTATGTCTACATGTGCGTTTACAATGTGTGTGGATGCATATGCACTATGATGTGATGCAAAGGTCAGGAGACAGCTTTGTGGGGTCAGTTTTCTCTTTCTGCCTTTACATGGTTCTGAGGATTGAACTAGAGCTGTCAGGCCTGTGTAGCATGTGACTTTACCTGCTGATCTATCTCACCAGCCCTATGTTCCCATGTTTCTCTCTCTCTCTCTCTCTCTCTCTCTCTCTCAATAACTCATCAGGTGGCCCAGAATGACCTGGAGCTTGCTATGTAAACCAGGGTGGACTGAAACTTATGGCGATCCTCCTGTCTCTTCCTTTTGAATATTAGGATTACCTGTGTGAGCCAGCACAACTATCCTAGACTCTAAAAATATTTTGAAGACAGGACTACTGAACATACGCTTTAAGGCTGAAAGAAAGGGAGGCTAAGAGTGACTGCTTGTCATCTGTTTCCTGTCTACTAGAGAAATGACTGACACTGCCATTTAGTGATAAAGACTGAGAAAAGCAGGAGTTCAGTCCAAGTCTCTATAGGAGAAATCCATTAGGTATCCAGGTACAGCTACTAAGTAGGTAGCACGGTGTCAGTGCAGAGTTAAGGACAAAGGTACAAAGGGGACAATGGCACTGGAGTCACCAGCAAGTGTAAACGACCTACATCACTGAAATGATGAGCTTGCCAAGGCAGTAAAGGCGAGAAGAAGTCCCTGGATCACTCCAATGTTCAGAGGAAGAATGTGTGTGGAAACTGGGAACTACTGAAGTTGGAGGAGAACCAAAAGGAGTGTTTGCTGCAAAGCCAAGTGAAGGAAAGGTTCTTAGGACAATGGATGTGACTTTCTCAAGGAATGCAAGACTGGTTCAACTCACAAATTCAGAATTGGTTTTAAAAGGACAAACACCACATACTCATCTCCAGAGGAAGCATTTGATTAAACCCCAAAGCACAGACCCCTAAGTGGGACCCTGTACAGATGTTAAGGCTATAGCAGACCTCTGTATGCTGACACAAAGAGATCTCTAACATATATATTTAACTGAAAAATAAAAATCAAGTTAATTCTTTCTCTTTTTTTGTGGTCCTGGAAATTGAAGACAGGGACTTACATGCAACAGGCCAGTACTTTACCATTTAGTCATATTTCCAGGCTCCCTTTATGCTTAAAGAAATGAGGAGGCCACGGCAGTAAGATCATGATTTAATGCCAGCTTAGGTTATCCAGTGAGTTGCTATTTTGGGAATCTACCTCTTTCCAGTCCCAAGAGAGGAAAAAAAATATATAAATGATAAAAATTTAAAAATACAAAAGGGTATATAATGTAATGCCGAATAGTGAGGTAAAATGCCACACACAAACACACACATCACAGTTTGGGCCAATGAGATAGCTCAGTGGGAGGGCACTGGCTATGAAGGCTGACAACTTGAATTCCATCCCCGGGACCCACAAGGAGAGAACAGATTCCTGCAAATTGTCCTCTGCCCTCCACACACATACTGTGATACATGTATACACAAACATGCACATACCTAAATAACTAGATAAATAAATGCAAGAAGAAGTCACAGTTTAAAAGGGTGCAGTGGTACAGGCCTATAATCCCAGCACTTGGAAAGTAGAGGTAGGAGAACTGGGGAGTTCAAGATCATCTCCCACTACACATGAAATTCACGGCCAGCCTGGGCTATGGGAGATCCTGTCTCACAAAACAGATTGATTTAACCTTACTATAATGCAGGTTTGCAGACATCAGTTGGGAATTATTGACTTCACCAATCTCAGCATACTTACAACAGCCACGGGGTCATTGCTCCTGGTGGCCGCAAGACTGAAATGTTTCACATGTGTGTTGGTTTCCAAAGTCTTTGCAAAATCTTTTAGAGTTGGAATTGGGATATTCTTGAAAGACAAAAATGTGAAATGCCATCAACATTTCAGTTATCAGGAAGTTTAATCCACCAATCAAACACACTTACACTTACTGTTTGCTCTAAAACATACTCAAAAAGTATGCAAACAAATAGCCTAGTCCACAGAGCAAGTTCTAGAATAGCCAGGACTACATAGAGAGACCCTATCTCAAAGCAAGCAAGCGAGCAAACAAACAAACAGCAATAATAATTTGAAAAAACAAAAAATAGATCCTAGAAAGCCAATTTCTAGGCACTGGTTATGAGAAACAAAAACCTGTATTTTTCAAAGCCCTCACATGTAAATGTGTGCAGCCACTTTCACATAACCAACCTGGAAGCAACCCATGTCAATAACTGACCATGTCATATCCTATGAGAAAATAACCCAAACCTACACAACATGGGTGAGTCTCACACGCATTGTCAAAAGGAAGACTCAAATGCTGCAAGGTGGATTCCATCTACAAGGCTGGAGAAGGCAAAATGAATAGCTCTAAGTGACAAGAGTGGACAGAGGATAGCAAAGAGGCCTGACAAACTTCCAACATTACAGGTAGGCTTTATATCAGTTAGTCAGTTGGGCGTTGTTTTTTTTTTTGTTTGTTTGTTTGTTTGTTTTAGAACCTGACAGTGGTATTTTTTAGTTTTACATCCTGGGACTACACATTAAAAGAATTTTACTTAACTATATTAAAAAATACCTTAGTAAATCCAATTAAAATAAAAACCAAAGGCTAAAGTTCAAAAGAGGGTAGCACTTTAAAATTAGAGTAACTTATGGATAATGTGTAGGGTCATATTCTTATATGATAAACTCTTTAAAAAGTAAATAACAAAATATTTTCTATAATACTTGAATGTATAAGCTTTGAAGGAATCTATGTTCATATACTGTTAGTACACTTCACCTTAAAGCAGAAGTTACATCAGAATTGACCCAAAACAAACATCATGTGTTGATTCTGATACATATGTACATTGCATGCTTAACATACTTACTTTAATATTATTCAAATTAACTTCAACAAGACGGGCATCATTTTCCTTAATTCTCTTTAAACTCTCTTCAACATTGGTTGGATTTGGTGGCTCATCAAACACTGGAAGAATCTTTTCCCCTTTTACCACATCTATAGGAACAAACGGAAGAGCAAGGATTGACTGAGATGACTGGACCTGAGAGGAGACACATTTACTTGGTCATCTATCCCCACCCCCCAGGCCATACATTCAACACATCCAATCTGAAAGTCCCTTCTGCACAATTGCTAAAAGATCCCTTATATGTTGGGAGATACTTATGTCACCAAATAAAATGTTATTGAATAGATGACAAGGGAAGAGTAGGATTGCTCCCAGTTGAATTTAATAAGGCAGTGTCCTTTCATCTAGCGGGCCATGGGAGGTGAGCAGAGTACTTCATCAATGAATGAAAACTTGAGTGAGCTTTCAGTTTTATAAAACATAGACTAGGTATGAGTCCAGCATCTAATAATGGCATTGGGTGTTATGGAATATTAGTTTAAGATGTGTTACATTTGTTTATGCTGTGGAACATGTTTAGTGATGCAATGATGTGTTGCATTCTTTTTATGTTGCATTTGTTTGACTCTGTAAAGCTGTGTTACTTTGTATAAAATACCTGCCTGGTCTAATGAAGAGCTGGATGGCCAATAGCTAGGCAGGAGAGGGATAGGCAGGGCTGCCAGGCAGAGAGATAAATAGGAGAAATCTAAGCTTGAAAGAAGAGCGAGGAGCGAGAAAAGGAGAAGGGAAGAGGACACCAGGAGCAGCCGCCCCACCACACAGCCAGCCACAGAATAAGAAGGAAAGAAAGATATATAGCATTAAAAACGGCCAAAATTAAAAAAAAAAAAATTTGGGCGGTGGTGGAGCTCGTCTTTAATCCCAGCACTTGGGAGGCAGAGGTGGACAGATCTCAGCGAGTTCGAGGCCAGACTGGTCTACAAAAGTGAGTTCCAGGATAGCCAGGACTGTTACAGAGAAACTATATCTCGAAAAACCAAAAGAAAAAGAAAAGAGAAAAACAGCAAGGTAAAAAGCCCAGAGGCGGAGGCTGGAGAGATGGCTCAGAGGTTAAGAGCATTGCCTCTTCTTCAAAAGGTCCTGAGTTCAATTCCCAGCAACCACATCGTGGCCCACAACCATCTATAATTGGGTCTGGTGCCCTCTTCTGGCCTGCAGGAATACACACAGACAGAATAATAAATAAATAAATAAATATTTTTAAAAAAGCCCAGAGGCAAAACATAGTTAAAGAGAAATGGGATAATTTAAGTTAGAAAAAAGCTGGCTTGAAACAAGTCAAGTTAAGCCCGGGCATTCATAAGTAAGAATAAGTCTCCCTGTATTTATTTGGGATCTGAGTGGCAGGTCCCCAAAGTGTAAAAAAAAAAAGAAAGAGAAAAAACCCTATATTTGGGTTATATTTTTAAAAAGTAACAAAGTAGTTTTGACTTTTAAAACAGTATCTGTTCAATGGGATGCCACAGTTATATGAAAGGTTCCTGGGAAACTATAAGTGAATAGACCAGGCCAATTCCCGAACCAGCTCATCTCTTCATTTTCCCTCCCTCTCATGCTGAGACACAGTTCTGTCATGTAACCAAGGCTGTCTAGAACTTGGAATTCTCTTGCTTCAGACTCTCTAGTGCTGAGATCAAGGGTGTGTAGCACCATAGCACACATAGTTCAATGATCAGTCTTAACAGTTTCCAAAAATGAGGGACTAATTTGGTTTAAGCATTTGCCAACTCCCCACAATATTCACCAAGTCAAAATCCATACATATAGGCACACACACACACATTAAAGGCACACACATAGGCACACACACACACATATATAGGCACACAGACACACACACACACAGACACACACACACACAGGATCTTTGGTATAATAAATATCGAAGTTAATACATGGAAGAAGCAAAACATACATGACAAAGGATTGGAACTCTCAAGGCATGTTAACTACTCACTTGAAAAATGTTCTTGGTCGACACCATTACTGCTTCCCACCACATCACAGAACTGAGTGTTTGTAATCAGATTGTGCATCCCAAGGATAGCTGCAGAGAGAACAGAGTTAGTTTCTACTTCTACCTGCTCTAAACTTTTTCATTTTTTAAAAAAAAAAATACTTTTTTGAGCTATATTTTTCTCTGCTCCCCTCCCGTTTTCTCCCCTCCCCTTTTACCCTTTCCCATGGTCCCCTCCCCATATTCCTAATTTACTCAACATTTTCGTTTTTACAGAAGCAGTCCTCCTGCCTCAAGCCTTCCAAGTAGCTGTGACTATAGATGTGTGCCCAGTACCCAGTTTGCAAACAAAAATATTTTTTAGTATTTTGAACATTCTCCAGACATTTTTCTATTAAACTGAAAATGGACTTTACATAGCAAACAAGAGGGTGGGGTTGGTGCAGTCAGAAATCACTGACAATGCTCCATTCACTTTCATCAATCCCCTTGTTACCTCCCAGCCTCAGGCTGACCTTAAAAGGAAAGCTATGCTTAGCTCCCCCTGGTGGCTAAAAGAGAAAACAGAAAAGATCTCCTTGCTGGTCACTATCCAGATCTCTAGGAACAAAACACCATACAGCACCCAAGGTGGGCATGGTCTGCATTTGACTATACTAAAAGTATTGTTCTTTCATTGAAGGTAATGTAGCACCTTCTGATGAAGGTACCATTTACAAACCCACCAGTCCTTTGTCCCTCAAGAAAATACCACCTTCTCTTGCTGTGACATCACACCTCACTCTGCCCCTTTCTGGGGTCCTTCCTAGGAGCCTTCACTCCACTTTCAAACATATCGGTTCTTAGAGTTCTCTGGTAGGTGGGTCTTCCTATATGTCACTCTGACAAGTTGGGGACATGAATACAGCTTTTGATTTCTATTCCCTCTCCATGAAACAAACAGGAAAGAAGTCGACCATGAAGTCTGTTTCTAGTGTTCAGATAGGACAGGTTCACCAGCTGGTGACATGGCTTTTGTTGTTAGGAAGAATTTAAAATAGCAACATAGGAAAATTATCAAATAAATTTTATCAACATAAAATTCCACCATAGAGAGTACTTAAAAGAATCCTACCGTCAAGTTTACTGTGTAAAGTACAAAGTGTTTGTATAATACACACAGGTGCACCCTGCATGGCTCTCCCCACACTACCCTCACTTAAACTCTGCTCACCTGCAAGGTCACACAGTTCCGTGTCAGAGGCACTTGTCAAAGCTTCTTCTAACTCTGGATCAAGAGATATGTTATCTTCTGTGAAAGTCTGCACAGGTTTCTGTTTGGGGATAAAAATTTTCCCTGAAAAAAAAAACATAGACACACACACGTTTTGTTATTCATGTCTACTGCTCTTACTCATTTCTACTAATTCACCACCTTTGCCCGTCAAGCATTAGGTAACGCATGTGCGACTGAAATGGACAGTCAGGTCAAAACTAACATCAACAATATACACACCAGAAAGGAAGAATTACTGAGAAATCGCCCCATCTCTGAAAATAAAACAGCTCCTTTTTTTTGTTGTTGTTTTATTCTGAGACAGAATTTCACCATGTGGCTGAGACTGGCCTAGAACTTTCTATGTGGCCTAGACTGGCCTGGACCTCATAATCCCCTCACCTCCGACTCCTGAGTGCACAATGGCTCAGTTCTTTCAAGGAGCAATTCTGACCAATATTTAAATGAAGCTAGTTGAGAATTTTTTATTTATTTATTTACTAAAGATTTCTGCCTCCTCCCCGCCACCACCTCCCATTTCCATCCCCCGGTAAAGTCCCCCTCCCTCATCAGCCTGAAGAGCAATCAGGGTTCCCTGACCTGTGTGAAGTCCAAGGACCACCCACCTCCATCCAGGTCTAGTAAGGTAAGCATCCAAACTGCCTAGGCTCCCCCAAAGCCAGTACGTGCACTTGGGAAACTATGGAAGGAGGACCAGAAGCCAGCATGGGCATAGGCTCCAGGCTAGTCTGGCATGGGAAAACAAAACAAAATCCAAACCAATCAACCACCTGCGTGCATATACACATGTGCATAACACACATGCGCACAACACACACATGCGTGCAACACATGCATGCATGCACTGAAACCCTAGAAAATCTATAAAACTTAAAAATAAAAACAGGATCCAATTTCTTATTGTTAAAAGACAAACTGTTACAGTCACTTAAGGAATAGCAGAGACAACTATGATTCCAGAAATTCGAGTTCTAATTTTAAGGAAATTTCTCTGTTCCAAAACTTGACAACTGCTTTTCTGAAGCAAGCACACTAGCAAGCTGTGAAGTAGAAGCAAGAGGATCACGAGTTCAAAGTTACCCTAAGCTATTTAAGATCCTGTCTCAAAAAAAAAAATATCAAAGTTATTTCATGTCTCTGCTAAAAGCTCCCCATCTCTTTACCTCATATATGCTGCTGTATACATTTCTGTAAGAGTCTTTGGTTATTTTGAGCATAATTAAAGATTTATTTGTATTATTATTGACTTCTTTTGCTTTGTTTGAGACAGGGCCTCTCTTTGTAACCCTGGTTACCCTGGAACTCACTATACAGACCAGGCAGGCCTTCAACTTAGAGATCTACCTGCCATCTACCTCATGAGTGCTGACTGTTTTGAAAACACATCAGGAGTTTCCTGTCAAGGTCTGAGTTGGACCCTGAGATTTTGGAGGAGCTGCCTACTTTTCTGAGAACTGTGAGAGACTTCCCCCTCCCCCAATATAGCCCTGACTACAAGCTCTCACTTCTGGCTTTTTGTACCTTAGAGCCAATTTGATCTGCACTTACCTTGTCTACCTTCTTTTTTTTTTTTGGATACACGAGTCATTTATTAAACATTTTAATCTATTAATCAAAAAGTCCGCAGTCATTAAGGGAAAGACATAGTATTTATAGGTAGAACAACTTTGAATTGTTGGGGACCAAGAAGCCCCCCGACCTAAAGCACTGACCAATCTTCCTCATCCCCTCTGCAAGAACAGCCTGCTGCAAAACAGCTTGCTGCTCAATCAGGTGTAAAATAGTTCTTGGGATGGTTTGACTGCAGAATGTTCCAAGAAAAGATCACAAATACAGACTGTCTCTTCGGACCGTCTTGTGGTCAAGACGTTTTACGAAAATAACTACTTCCCCCTTGGCCTAGGGCACTATAGTTTTCATTCCCCTCCAACCTTACCCCTCCCTGCCAGAACTGCCCTATAAGAATAAATCACTGCTTGCAATAAACGGAACCTAGACGCATCTCAGACTGACTCTGTCATTCTTTATACGCGCTTGGTTCTCTTTCTCTCTCCCCCTATTCCTACCCAGGTGATCCTGAACTCGAGCCCCACGAATTACGTGGCCTGCAGGACGGGTCATTGAATCACAGAAAAATCATTCCTGGAATACAATATAAGGCTGACAGTTGCTGGAAAAATAGTATCCCAAGATGTTGCATTTATTAGTTAATAATATAAAAGCAGTCTAAAGCTATGAATAACTCCCTATTCACACATTTTCAATGTTATCTCCTAGGTCATCTGTTTGCACATGACTAATTGACTTAGGCCAGTATCATAAACATTCTTCCTAGTTTGGGGAAAGTCAGAGAAACTGGCATTATATTTATAACTGGCATCAATAACACTGTAGCTTACAAACATGTAAATATTAAAATCTGAATTAATCTAAACTAAATGCTCTATCTCTGTTTTTCATTATCTCTCTCTGTGTGTATCTATTCCAGAATATCGCAAGTTTTTCTCTTTTTCTCTCCCTTACTTGCTCTCCCTCCCAACCCCTCCTTCCTTTGTATGTATGTGTGTGCACACATGCATGTATGTGTTTCTGTTCGGATGTGTGTAAGTGTTTACATGTGTGTACATGCATACAGGGTATATATATATATGTGTGTGTGTGTGTGTGTGTGTGTGTGTGTGTGTATAACCTTGTCTACCTTCTGCTCAGTGAGGGGGAGAGTGACCTAGAGAGAACTGTAGCTCTGCTGCCCTCCCTCAGTCTCACCTAGTTTGCAGGCAAGCCTTGGGGAGTTTCCTGTCCACTTCTATTCTTGGAAGTATTATCTCCATACTAAACAGACTCAGTCTGTCTTTATTGCTGCACTGCACCCTAGGTGGCCCTGGAGTGTGGGGTGGTGGGTAGTGGTAGTTACAAGCAAGTTACTGAAGTGTGGCCTGGGGAGATAACCTCATTTCTAGCCCCTTCGGGGCTGGCAGTGACACAACATGCTCTCATTGTGGTGTTCTGATTGACCTTAGCCAAAAAATAAAGGAGCTGGTTGGCCATGTACTGACACATCCCAGGCAGCGATCAAATATAAACTTTTAAACAACCAGTCTTACTGTATAGCCCTGGCTGGCACTGAACTCACAGAGATCCTCCTGTGTCTGCCTCTGTCTCACAAGTGCAGAAACTAAATGTGTGTGCTACCACATCCAGCTCTAAATTCTCAGTCTAAAAGGAACAAAGTTGCTTTGCTAAGGTCTTTAGTTAAAATGACAGAAAAACTAAGACAGTGAGAAGAACAGTTTTTATTTATAACTTCCTACATCTGAATTCAAAGTCAGAGATGTTCTGATTCAGAACCTATCACTGGGTGAATCCAGATGGCTTTGTATGAGTGAGGATATGTTAACTATATGCGCACCACAGAGCACCTGGCTGAAATACAGTGCTTTAAGTCTTAGCTACAGTAGTGACGATGTGCTAATGACATACATAGAGCATCTAGTTGAGACATAGAGCTTGAAGTCTTAGCTATAGCAATTATACAAGAGGAAGACATAAAAGGGATAAAAATAGACATCAAACTATCATTTACAGACTATATAATTCTGTCTGTACTTAAAAGATCATATGCAATGTAATCTCTCTCTCTCTCTCTCTCTCTCTCTCTCTCTCTCTCTCTCTCTCTCTCTCTGTGTGTGTGTGTCTGTGTCTCAGTTTTCCATCACAGAGTTTCTCTGTGTAGCCCTGGTCGTCCTAGTTGCTCTGTAGACCTTGAACTCAAAGATCTGCCTGCTTCTACCTGGGATTAAAGGTGTGCACCACCACCACCCGATATACTAGAACACGTTTAGCTCTAATAAAAACAATATAGTTGCAGGATACAATATAGTTGCTGGGATTAAAGGTGTGCACCACTACCACCTGGTTAAATAAAATTTAAAACTGTAACTGATAGTGTAAAAGACTAAGCAAAAAGCTCCACTGCTTCAGAATGGCCATTTTATATCGACAGAAGATAGAGATAGAGAGAGGGGTGGTCTGATCAAGGGGCTGAGTGGCTTCTTTAACCATATGATGTTTTCAATTTGCAAGCTAATCAGAATAGAGGCTTTGTTTGTTTGCTTGTTTTGTAAATATACATGTACTTGGGAGGCAGAGGCCAGCCTGGTCTATAGAGTGAGTTCCAGGACAGTCAGGGCTGTTACATAGAGAAACCTGTCTTGAAAAACTAGAAAAGGAAAAAAAAAAGAATATACATGTAAATACAGCTCAAAATGTGCATCCCAGTCACGGAGGGAGAGTGTGAAAAAAGGGGCAGCAGCACTTGGCTTTGAGGTGTGGCCTGGTTTCTGAGTTGTGGTGGTTTGAATGAGAAAGGCCCCCATAGGCTCACTATTTGAACAACTGGTCGGCAGCTGGTAGGACTGTTTAATAAGGATTAGAAGCTGTGGCCTTGTTATAGGAGTTGTTTCGCTAGGAGTGATGTTTGAGGTTTCAAAAGTTTGTGCTATATCCAGTTAGCTCTCAGCTACTGCTTTAAGGCATGCCTGCTGCCATCCTCCCTGCCAAGATGATCACAGACTCACCCTCTGAAACTGTTTTTCCAAGTAAATGTTTTCTTCTAATCAGTTGCCTTGGTCGTGGGGGTCTTATCACAGAAACTGAAAAATAACTAAGGTGCTTGTCAACCTCCCAGGGAATGCTGACATTGCTGACTCAGGCCAGACTTAAAGCAGACAGAATGAAAATAATATGAATTCAGTAGTGTTGGGAGCAGACAGATCTGAGTTCAAGACCAGTATGGTCTAAAAAAGTGATTTTCAGGAAAGCCAGTAGAGAAACCCTGTCTCAAAAAAACCAAACCAAACCAAACCAAACAAGAACTCATTAGCTTCGGTTGGTTTCAAAGGGCTAGGGCAAGGATCTAGATGTTTCCATTTTCCTTTTTTGGTCATTCCCTTCACTAAGTCCTGTCTTTGGGCTTCACAGTCTCTTTTGCAGCATCAAGAATCACGTCTGCATAAAATAATGTGAGGTGAGCTAAGGTAAGATGGAGGGGAGGAAGGCAT